GCTATTCAGAAGAGGTGAAGCACAAGGGAACTGCAGGGGGAACAGAGAGGAGGCTCTTTTGTCTAGATGATGTCACTATCAGCAAAGTTTGGAGTTTCTGGATCAGAGAGCTTCCATAGGTAGCAGTTTGTGGCTTGGGGAGGACTTCATCTATCCACAAAAAGATGTAGGCTCAAGTTTTATAGGGTATGCAAATCAGGCAGATTCTTAAAAAGGCTATGAATCTGATTATCTTTGCTATTTATAAAATAATTGGATGTATAAGAATTTATTTGGTGTTACACTTTTGAGTTAAGGGGGCTTATCCTGTAGTGAAGAAGTAAACAAGTGGAGGCTATTTTTGGCTGACATTTATAACAAATGAAGGCAGAATCCATTCTATCTTTTTCTTAGGAATTATGCATAAAGGATTGAAGGTATAGTCACTGTCATTCTGTATGGATCATCTCTACTTCTGGCACCTGCTGTTGTATCCTGGTCCCAGGACTACTGTATTAACTAATGCATCCTTCTATCTTCCAGATCAAACTGAAATCCCTGTTAGGACTTCATTTGGCAATGGTATCTTAGATATGATGCCAAAAGCATAAAGACCAAAAGAAAAAACTGATTAGACTTCATCAAAATTGGACTTCATCAAAACTGAAAACTTTTGTTCATTAAAAGACATTATTAGGAGAATGAAAAGACCACCTGGAGAATGGGAAATCATAATCTGATTAAGGTTTAGAAATTGCATATCTAAAAAGGGTTTTGTATCCAAAATATATAAAGAACTCTTACAACCTAACAACAAAAAGACAAAATCCCACGTAATAATGGGCAAAGGACTTGAATAGACATTTCTTCAAAGAAGATAGATACATGCTAATAAGCATGAAAAGAGAGTCTCACGTTATTAGTCATCGGAGAAATGCATTCAAAATCACAATGAGAGTTGGGTGCTGTGGCACACACCTGTAATCCTAGCAGCTTGGAAGGCTGAGACAGGAGATAGCAAGTTCAAAATCAGCCTCAGTAACTTAGCAAGACCCTGCCTCAAAATAAATGAATGAATAAATAAAAGGGATGGGGATGTGGTTCAGTGGTTAAACTCCACTGGTTTCAATCCCTGGTACCAAAACCAAAACAAAAAACACAATGAGATCTCACTTCATACCTACTTGATGGCCACCATAAAAACAAACAGAAAATAACAAATGTTGAATATGTGCAGCAGTGGAAACACTCACACATTACTCTGGGGAAGTAGAATGGTGCAGTCCCCATAGAAAATAGTTTGGTGGTTCCTCAAAAAGTCAAACACAGAAATACCATATGAGCTGGCAATTCCACTCCTAGGTTTAGACCCAATAAAATTGAGAACAAAGGTTCAAACAAAAAATTTAGTATTAGCAGCACTATTTACAGTGGACCAAAAAGGTAGAAACAGCCTGGTGCGGTGGCACATGCCTGTAATCCCAACGGCTCGGGAGGCTGAGGCAGGAGGATTGCAAGTTCAAAGTCAGCCTCAGCAATGGCAAGGCACTAAGCCACTTGGTTAGACCCTGTCTCTAAATAAAATACAAAGTATGGCCAAGGATGTGGCTCAGTGGCTGAGTGCCCCTGAGTGCCAAAAAAAAAAAAAAAAAAAAAGAAAAAAAAGGTAGAAACAATCCACATCTAATCTAGTAACTGAAGAATGCATAAGCCAAATGTGGTATATTCATATAATGGAGTCTTATTCAGTCATGAAAGGAAGGAAATATTAATACATGCTACCACATGAATGATCCTTGAAGACTGCTGTGGTTTGACTGTGCTCTCTGTAATTTAATTGCTATCATGACCATATTAAGAGATGGGACTTTCAGGAGTTGGGTGTGTAGGTTAGTGGTGGAACACCTGTCTGGCATGCCGAGGGCTTTGGGTTCCATCCTTAGCACTGGGGGAGAGAGATAGAGATAGAGATAGAGATATCGATAGAGATAGAGAGGTGTGGTGTTTGTGGATCTTTTAATGGGTGATTAGGTCAGAAGGGCTATGTCAATGGATTAGTGCCATTATTGAGAAAATGGGTTATTCTTGGGAATGAGTTCCTGATTTTACAAAAAGGATGCGTTTTTCTAATTTCTCTAGGTCTGAATTGAGCATGCTTGCTTGTCTTCTTGCCATGTTATAATGCAGCATGAAGGCCCTGGAAAGATTCTGGGGTTTTCCAGTCTCCACAACTGTAAGTCAAATAAAATTCTATTGTTTAAAAATTATCCATGGGTTGGGGATGTGGCTCAAGCGGTAGCGCGCTTGCCTGGGTTTGATCCTCAGCACCACATAAAAATAAAATAAAGATGTTGTGTCCACTGAAAACTAAAAAATGAATATTAAAAATTCTCTCTCTCTCTCTCTCTCTCTCTCTCTCTATATATATATATATATATATATATATATATATATATATATCTATATCAAAAAAGAGTGTCACTCTTCATAAAAAAAATTATCCAGTTTATGGTATTCTGGTATAGCAGCACAACAAGGATTAAAACAATGTAATAAGTAAATGAAGCTAGACATAAAACGTCACATAATATTTTTCAGGTTTTTTTTTTTTTGGTGATATTGGGGATAGAACACAGGGCTTTGTGAATACTGGGAAAGCATACTACCATTGAACTACATCCCCAGTCCCAAAGCCACACAGTGTTTGATTCTATTTATGTGAAATATCCCCAATAGGCAAATCCACAGTGACAGCATATTAAGTGGTGGCCAGCACTTCAGAACAGAAGGGAATGGGGAATGATTACTTAATGGCTATGTAGTTTCCTTTTTAAGGTGATGAAAATGGTCTGGAACTACATAGTGGTAATAGTTGCACAACATTGTGAATGTAGTAGATGACACTGAATTGTAACTTTAAAATGGTTAAAATAGTAACTTTCATACTACATGTGTTTTACTACAATAAAAAAGAAAAGTCTCCCCCCCCCAAGTGCTGGGGATCAAACCCAGGGCATTGCACATGACAGGAAGGAATTCTACCTTAGCCCCTGCCCCAAGTTTTTATATGGGGTAGAGTATGTATGAATGGTGAGCATGAAGCTGAGGCAATGAAAGGTAATAACAGTGTGATCAAATGGGGATACACATGGGGCTCAGTGGAAGAGAACTAATTTGAGTGTTTGGTAGAGTAGAAAGGAATGAGAGTCATGAGGAGCAGAGTAAGCTGAAATGGAAGTGACAGTGTTATTTATATCTGAGTGAGCCTGTGTTCCTGGAAACCAGTAATGGTAATGAACCTGGCAACCCCACTCTTGGGTTCTGCAAAAGGCTACCTGCATAGGTGCCTGTCTTAGTCAGCTCTGGCTGCCATAGCAAACTACTAGATTGGTTGGTTTAAACATCAGGAAATTCATTCCTCACAGTTCTGGAGGCTGGGAAATCCAAGATCAAGATGCCTGCTGCTGGGGCTGGGGATTTGGCTCAAGCGGTAGCGCGCTCGCCTGGCATGCGTGTGGCCCGGGTTTGATTCTCAGCACCACATACAAACAAAGATGTTGTGTCCGCTGAAAAATAAATATTAAAAAAAATCTGCTGCTTTTATTTCTGTGAAGGATCTCTTTCTGGCTTGCAGACAACTGCCTTCTAGCATTATACTCACCTGACTTCTTTTTTGTGCACATGGAGAGTGAACAAGCACTTGAGTGTCTTTTCTTATTAGGGCACTGATTCTATGGGATCTGGGTTTTACCCTCATGACCTCTTGTAACCCTAATCACTTCCTAAATGCCTCATCTCCAAATACCACTACATTAGGTTTAGAGTTTCAACATAAAAATTTTGGGAGAGGACAGAATTCCATGTAGTTCCCAGTGTTTTTGCACATTCTGAGAAAAGACCTGTGTCCATACTCTCTCATGACTCAAGAATGACTCCTTTGTTGAATTGCCTCTATAAACTCCTGGTCCCCTTCCTTGTCTTAGGGATGTTTCTTATTAATGAAAGTTTTCCCAATTGCAATAGCCTGAAAAGAAGCATCTCCTTAGTTTGTCTTTCACATCATCAAGTGATAGAGTGTGACTCATGGCGTAGGGTGTTTGGAAGTCCAGAACCTGAGCACTTTCCGTCTCCTGTTCGTTCCTCCACACCTCAAAGAGATTCTGATCAGAGCCTGATAGGAGTGGGACCTCGGCATCTCGGCCTTCCCAGGAATGTGGGCAGGGCGGGGTTACTGTCAGGGCTGTGTGAATTCTCCTCTAGTCTCCGACTAATATCCCTTCTTGCCCAGTCTCATCTCTCCCTACGCTTCTGTCTCTATCTCTCCCTGTACCCGTGTTTATCGGTGTCACTTTCTTCAAAAGTCTTTTTTTTTTTTTTCTGGGACCAGAATTGTACCACCGCTGGTCTTCCCCGCATTTGCACTTTGGTATCTTCCACAGAGGACTATACCAACTCGTGTCTTCTTCATAGCTAGCCCAACAGTACCTATTCCCCTAGCGTTACTTCCTCTAGAAGTCTCCTCCACACTTACTCCGCATTTTCACACTGTAGAGGAATGTATCGTTCTCTTCTTCGATTCTCTTCTGACCGGCAATATTTCCCAGGGAGAACTGTACTATTCCAGGCCCTACTCCTTTTTAGCAGTGGTATCTCCCCGCGGAGGCGCAGTAGCGGCGGGGGCTGTGGTTCTCAGCTCTAAATTTGTAAAAAACATGCATATGATTCACTCATCATTAGCCTGCTTTTGCACAAAGGGCCCCACTCTTATCGTCAGGTTTCCATATTCCTCCCGAAATTCCATCTCTTCCAAACTTTAAGAGGATCATTTTCCCCGCTGTACGGAATGATAAACGTTGTAAAGATGTCTGCTCCCTTGGCAAACCGGCTCACTGGCGCGGCCATTTTTTTTTGCCAGCCAAATAATGATCATTGTGGTAACCAAAATAATTTTGGCTACTAGCGCTGATGGCTTCAGGAAAGGCTACTGCGCATGAGCAAGTATAGTGACTGACAGTAACCAAGGCGGGGTAAAGGACTAAAAAGTGGCTGTCGGAGGAAGTTATGACTGATTTTAGAAACATCAAGGGGACTTTACCAGAATAAGAATTCGAATTTTAAGATCAGAGCAGGGGATGAAGGAGGGCAGAGTTCACTCAGAGCGGAAGTGAAAGGGCTGATAGTCTGCAGGCGGAGTGACACCAGCGAGTGTGGACTCTCTAAAGCCGCGATTTAGTCGGTGAGTACTTGGGGAGGGGCTCTGAGATGAGACGTGAGTGTCTGGGGAGGGAGCTGTAAACGGAGTGATGGGAGTCTGTGGAATGAGTGATGGAGTCTGTGGAGTCGGTGACGGAGGGACTGTGGGGTGAATGATGGGTGTATTTGGGGTATGAGATGAGGGGATCTGTATAATGAGTGATGAGAATTGTAGTGTAAATGTTGGGGAGGGGGTACTGTGAAATGTGTAATGAGGGTCTCGGGTCAGCGATGGGGAATTTGTGGTAGTGAATGTTGGATGGCCTATGAGATCCATGATAGGGATGTGTTGTTGAGTGATGGGGATCCGTGGGGAAAACAAATGTCCTTTCCCTTTTTTTTTTCTTAGCAATTTCGTGGCCATTTTACCAGCTGGCATTTGTATATTTCTGATCTGGTGATTTGGTGAACTTTCAATCTGGGTGTTCCTTGCCATCTGCAACTCTTTTCTTTTCTTCTCCTCCCTCTCAACAGCTCTGCCTTTTTAGGCCTTTGCCTTCTCTCCACAACAGTCAGACATGACTAAGTTCCGGGTAAGTTCTTACTTGCTTCTCCCCTCCCCCTCCCCTTGTTAGGATACTTAAAAGCAAGGAAGCACTATTGTACAGTGGTTAAGACTAAAGACTTTGAGATTAAACTCCTCTTAACAGCTTTATGAGCTTAGGCAAGCCATTTAACCTCTCTGTGCCTTAGTTTTCCTAAATATAAAATGGGGGTGATGATGATGCTAACAATAACAATAATAATACTTACCTTGTATGGTTGTTGTGAAGATCAATTGAATTAACATGTGTTTAGAACAATTCCTGGTATATACATAGTATGCATTATATATGAGCTTGATGTTAATTATTGTATTAATATTTATACCATAAAATGGATATGTATAAAAATATACAGTTAGGGTTAGAGAAGTAGAGCAAGTCCAAAGCAAGTTTGAAATGTGTATGCATAGATCCTAGGATTCTACACATTTATGTTAAGCTACAGTTACCTTTCTAGCTTCCTAAAAGCCACAACACAGAGGGAAGCAAACACACTTGCTTTATTTATCTCACCCATCAGAGAAAGTGAGCTACTTCCTAAGAAGTAAAGTTTTCCTGATGTTGATCAGATAGTTCTCTGATCAATCATCCAAGTCCCCATCAGCAATCTTTTGATAAATACAGGGTTGGGATTGCTCTGCTGTGACTTAGAATATATCCTCATGTTAGCCAAATGTGTCCTGCCAGAACAGAAGTAAGGAATGCAATTTTTCAGGAAACCAAAGCCATCTCTGCACAATGAACTCTCTTATGTTCTGGATCAACACTGGATTAAAACTTTGATGGTTAAGAACAATCAATAAACCTCATGCCCTTCAAATTCTTTTTGAATACATTTTCTCTCATCTGTGATTTCAGTACAGCCTGAGAATCCTTGCCCTTTCCCTTTTTAGGCTCAGAAATCATAATGTCCCTGACCATTTTCAGTTCTTTCCTTTCTGCCCTTCTTTAAAAGTCTGAAAATCTGAAATAATTTTGTCATTTTTCCCCCTCTTCCTACAGAAGTGAGATAGGAATGGCACCCAAAATTCAAACTCTTGAGGAATGTACAATCCCAAAAGGGGAACTATCTCAGGATCTCATATCACCATTCATTTCAGATAACAATTCTATGATGAATTTGATTAATTTGTGCCTATATACCCCCCTCTCTTCCTTGTCCTTGTTCTTTATATTTACATACATTTAAAACATATAGTTAAGGTATGTCTTCTTTTTATTTATTTATTTTTGGTACTGGGGATTGAACCCAGTGGCACTTTACCACTGAACTACATCCCTAGCCCTTTTTAATTTTTATTTTGAGACAGGGTCTCATTAAATTGCTGAGGTTGGCCTCAAACTTTCAATCCTCCTGCCTTAGTCTCCTGAGTTGCTGAGATTATAGGCTTGTGCCACTGCACCTGGCACATATATTCTTTTGCTGCAATTTGCTCATTAGGTAATACTGTTTTGCAACTTTCTGCTTTCCCTTTACAGAATGATATAATGCAAGTTGAACATCCCTAATCTGAAAATCTGAGATCCACAAAGCTCTAAAATATGAAACTTTTTGTGTTAGAGGTATAATGTCACAAGTGGAAAATTCCACACCTGATCTTGTGTGATGGGTCACAGTCAAAATGCAGGCACAGTAAAACTATTGCATAAAATTGCATCCAGGGTATGATTATAGGGTATTATATGAAACATAAATGGATTTTGTGTTTAGACTTGGATCTCATCTCTAAAATATCTTAAAACAAGAGCCAATTTGTAGTGAGCTTACACTATGCATGATACTAAGCACTTATATGCATGGCCATCTTTAATTCACAATAACTGTATGAAGTAGGTACCATTATTATTCACATCCTACAGATGGGGAACTGAGTACCAGAGTGGATAAACAAGTGGCATGGGATTGCACAGTTGATCACTGGCACAGCTGATTACTGCTACAGCTGGGATAGTGCCTTGTTGGTAGAGGATGTTTTTGGTGTTGTTGTTTTGTGTTTTTTTGCAGTGCTGGGGATAGAACCCAGGGCCTTGTGCATGCTAGGCAAGTGCTGTACCACTGAGCTATCACCCCAGGTCACAGAGATATTTTTAACAGCTGCATTTTTCTCTTGAATGCATGTACCATGATTTATTAATCAGCTCCATATTGAAGGACTTCTGTGTAATTTCTGTTTCAGTGTGGCAGTGATCTCTCTTGTCATCTATCTTTGTATTCAGTGATGACCATTTCTAGAATGTCTGGTTCAAAAGGTGGGCACATTTTGAACTTGCATAGACATTGCCAAGTTGCCTTTTGAAATGTTAGTACAAGTTGATACCTCTACTAACAATGAATGAAAATACCCTTTTGAATTCTCTTGTCATAATTTTAAGCCTTGCCATTTGACAGTTGAAAGTATTTTTTCATTTATGTTTATTTAATTATCAATGTTTTTGAGCATATTTTCATAATTTTTTCTCTTTTTTACATTTCTTATGTGAATTGTTCCTTTATATACACTGCTCTTTTTCCTTTGAAGTTTTTGAATCTTTGTCTTACATTTTTTTAAAAAAATTATACCTTTATTTTAATTTATTTTTATGTGGTGCTGAGGATCAAACCCAGTACTTCAAACGTGCTAGGCATGCACTCTACCACTGAGCTACAACCTTAGCACCTTTGTCTTATATTTTTTATTTTTATTTTTTACAGTGCTGGGGATCAAACCCAGGGTCTCATGCATGCTAGGCAAAACCTCTATCACAGAGCTACATATCCCTGGCCCTGTCTTACTATTTTTAAAACATTTTATGGAAATATGACCCAGAAAAAATCTTTTGTGGTAGATTTATTAAAGCACAATATTTAGAGGAGATATATATCATACAGTTTTTTTTAAAAAAGTCTGCAAATTGAAAACCCCTGTGGAACCAGTACCTGTAACAAAAAGGAAGGAATGACAGGCCTCCCATTAGCCTCCATTCTACTTCCAATCATGGTCTCTTGACTTACTGGTAATCACTTGCTGATTTGTGTCACTCTAGATTATTTTGACCTGTTCTTGGATGTTATATAAATGGAATCATACATTATTACTCTTTTGGGCCCAGCTTCTTTCACTCATTGTAATTTTTAAAAATTTATTGTTTTGTTTTTGTAGTTCAAAGGATCAAACCTAGGGCCTTACACATGCTAGGCAAGTGTTTCTGACACTGAGGTATACCCCAATCCCATTATAATATTTTTAAGATTAACCCTTGTTATTTTATCAGTAGTGTGTTCTCTTTCTGTTACTGTATACTATTCCATTGTATAAATAGATCACAATTGTTCATCTATTCTACTGCTAATGGATATGACCATTTTGGATTCTATAAATAATATTTTAGATACTTACAAATAATACTTGTATGAATATTTTTATACATGTCTTGGTGAACATATGTGCATTTCCACTGGATATATATATTTGAGAGTCGGGTTGCTAGGTCCTAGGCTAGGGTTATTTTTAGCTTTACTACATCTTTTTCTTCTTTTTTAAACTTTTTTATTTGTTCTAATTAGTAGCTTTACTATATTCTATCAAGTTGTTTTCCAAAGTGGCTATACCACTTTACTCCCACCAACAATGTATGAGAATTTCAGTTGCTCTACATCCCTGCCACCATTTGGGTTGTTGGTCTTTACTTTATCCATTCTGTTTGTATACATTTGTATCTCCTTGTGGTTTAAGTTTGCATTTCTCTGATGACTAATGATATTGACCACCTTTTCATTTGTGTTTTGACCATTGGGAGAGCCTCTTTTGTGAAGTATCTATTCAAAATTTTTTTCTCTAGTTTTTCTGTTGTCTTATTGATTAATAGGAGTTGTTTATAGTTCATATAGTATAAAAGTCCTTAGGTATTGCAGATATCTTGTATAAGATTTTTTTTTGGCAGTGCTAGGGATTGAATTCAGGTCTTTTCAGATACTAGGCAAATGTTTTACCACTGACCTACATGGTCAGCCCCCAAGAAGTCTTTTTTGAAATGATTCAATTTTAAACAGTAGCTTGTCTCTGAAGAATATTCCCCTTACCTTAAAAAACCATCACTCCAATCACCCTTGTCTGATCAGTACGTATTGTATACATATATTGATATATCATACTGTACCCCATAAATATGTATAATTAATATGTGTCAATTAAAAAATATTAAAAATAGATTTACTGATATTTTGGGAAAGTACCATCACTTTAATTTTTATCAAACTGATTGAACAAAAGTATGCAATTACAGGGATCAGTGTCATTCGAGGATGTGGCTGTGGACTTCACCCAGGAAGAATGGAATCGACTGGACCCTACTCAGAGGACCCTATACAGAGATGTGATGCTAGAGAATTATAGCCATCTTGTTTCTCTGGGTGAGGATGGCTTCCCTTAGTAATCACAGTGTCCCTAGCAGAATAACTTTCCATCTCTGAATGAAGTACTTCAATTCTTTGAACTCAAGTGGTAGGGGTTAAAGGTTCTTATTCCCTTTAAACTGATCAAGGCGTTTGTATTTTCATCTCCCATGTGAAATTTACCCTCATTAAAATGTACCTTCCTAATTTTTTGAAGCCCTGAAAGCCACACAGAGGCTCCCAAATCTTGTATCATTTCCCATTACAGGGTATCCTATTACCAAACCAGATGTGATTGCCTCTTTGGAGAATGGAGTTCTTGAGATCATAAAGAGAGAAATCCCAAGTTCAAGTTGTACAGGTAAGAAGTGGGAGATGATACTCTTTAGGATCTCTGAATGCTGACCACTTTTGAATGCTCTGAAATATCTTCCTAAAGAATACACACTATTGTTGCTTATTCCATATTATTAGTCTTGTGAGATATTGTCTCAAAATAATCTTGGAATAAGATGGCAAGGAGCTGGATTATACTCTAGCTTTGTCCTTCTGCTTCTCTCAATAACCTCAATTGTTTTTAGCCTTTCTGAAAAGCCCTTTGCAATTAGAGTCTTTTTTCCCCCAAATCCTGGATCTGCTACCTTCCAATATCCATTTTCCTATTCATGACTCCCTAGCCTATTTTTACATTCTCTTCCCAGTTTTAAGCTATTTTCTTAAACAATCTTGTCACTTATTGTTACTTCTGTCTCAATGTCTATTGGATCAACTTGTTTTTCTTTCTTTTTTTTTTTTTTTTACTCCTTGAGCTCTGAGTGTAGCACAGACATATACTTGAAATTTCTTTCTGACTGGTATCCAGACTTAAAAGAAATTAAAATTCAACCCCATCAGAGGCCTGCATCTTTCAAAGGTGTATTCACAGAGTATGGTTTATTATTCTTTCTAGAAGATGAGCAAGCTGAAGACCAGCTGGAGAACCACCAGGAAAACCAAAACAGACACCTGAGGCAAGCTATATCCATTGATGAGAAAAATGTGTCTAAGGAAAGAGCTCATGAATTTGATGGCTTTGTAAACCCACTTCCTCAGAGCACATGGGTAGTTTCTTCAGGACACACACCCTATATAACTGACTCATATGGGAAAAGTTTTAAAGATAATTTTGGCTTACTCAGTCCTAATAGTCTGAGCTTGACAGCTCAGAAATGTTACGAATGTAATCGATGTGGGAAATTATTAATTCATGGCAGGCATGAAAAAACTAATGGAATGATACCCCTTGACTATAATACATATGAGAAAGGTCATAGTCTTAACTTTGTTCAGCATAATCTGACTCAAGTTGCAGAACCAACCTATGAATGTCCTGAGTGTAGAATACCCCTCAGCACGAATTCACTCCTTATTGTTCATCAGATCACTCACATAGGAGAGAAACCTTATGAATATACAGAATGCAGAGAGGTATTCAACAAGACTGCACACCTCAGTATACATCAGACCATGCACACAGGAGACAAACTTTTTGAGTGTAATGAATGTGGCAAATCCTTCAGAGAGGAATCAACCCTGCATATACATCAAAGAACTCATACAGGTGAAAAACCGTATGTATGCACTGAGTGTGGCAAAGCTTTCCAAGAAAAGACAAAGCTCATCATACATCGACGAACTCACAAAGGAGAGAAACCCTATAAATGTTCAGAATGTGAGAAAACCTTCAACCAGAAGGCGCACCTCAGTGTTCATCAGAGAACACACACAGGAGAGAAACCTTTTGAATGCAGTGATTGTGGCAAATACTTCAGAGAGAAATCAACACTGAATATACATCAAAGAACTCATACAGGAGAGAAGCCGTATTTATGCAATGAGTGTGGCAAAGCCTTCCGAGAGAAGACAAAGCTCATCATACATCAGAGAACTCACACAGGAGAGAAACCCTATGAATGTTTAGAATGTGGGAGAGCCTTCAATCAAAAGGCACACCTCAGTGTACATCAGAGGACACACACAGGTGAGAAACCTTTTGAATGTAATGAATGTGGCAAATCTTTCAGAGAGAAATCAACACTGCGTAGACATCAAAGAATCCATACAGGAGAGAAACCTTATGTGTGTTCAGACTGTGGAAGAGCATTCACCCTTAAGCTGAGCCTCAGTGCTCATCAGAGAATTCATACAGGAGAAAAAACTGATGGATGTACTGTATGTGGAAAAGTCTTCTCCCGGAAGTCATATCTTATGCTACATCAGAGAGCTCATACAGGAGAAAAATTTGAGAAATCCTATGAATGCAATGAATGTGATAAAGCATTCTTCCAGAAATCATATCTCATTATTCACCAGAGAGTTCACACAGGGGAGAAACCCTACGAGTGTAATGTATGTGAGAAAGCTTTCTCCCAAAAATCATATCTCATTATACATCAACGAACTCATACAGGAGAGAAACCCTATAAATGTGATAAGTGTAATAGAGCCTTCAGAGAAAAGTCTAAACTCACTGTACATCAGAGAACTCACATAGGAGAGAAGCCCTATGACTGTCCTGAATATGAGAGAAACCTTCTAGAAGTCAAAGATCAGCAAGAATTAGAGAACTCTGAGAGAGAAGAGACCAAAGAACTGAAAATGGAAAATCCTTTGTAGGAAAGTCAAAGAAAAAGTGAGGTGGGGGAATCCTGCTTTAGGGTGATCAGGGATGGCTTTTCTGAGGACATGACATTTGATCTTAGATCTGAAAACAAAGCACCAGCCATACTGGGGGAAGAGCATTCCAGGCAGAAGAAATAGCAAGGGCCAAGGTTCTGAAGCAAAAAACTGGGCCTTTCATGCTTATATCATGGATGTATATTGAATGACTTTACACCAAAAAGGTTGTTCAACATTAAAATCTTTTAAAGTTTTGAATCTATGAGAGATGTCATTAGGAAGCCAAACCTCACCATAAATCTGGGCAAAGATATCAAGGGAAGCCCAATTTAATTAATTTCAATAATCATAGTCCCTTGGAAATGAAATAAGGGAAACATGTTTCCAAATTTAATATCCAACTCTCACAAAAAATTCAGAAAAGCTATTATTAAGAACACTCATTTTGTCATCTTTCATCATGGGTAATAAATGTTATCTCCAAGAAAAACAGAGTTCACCAAATGATATGAAATTACATAATTAAAGATAACCACAAAAGGAAAAACAATGAAGAATATACTATAAATGTTCAGATATTAGAAAGGACATTTAAGCAGAACAATGTAAAGAAAACAACACTACAGCATCAAATCCAGTTTCCAGAAGTAGCAACAGTTGATAATGCTTGCATTTTCACCACAGCCTGTTGGGTAAGATTTTTGGCTATGTTTCTCTGTGTGGAACTTCCTCTTCTCTGAGACTCATCCTATAGCCTTCCCCAAAAGACTATAAGCTGCACGACAGGTTTTTAGAAGATCCGTTTTTGACTCAAATTCACCGGCGTTTATTTCTGCTGCTTTTGATGAATAACTATCACATTCAGAAGTCAGTACCCAGAGTAAAAGCACCTTTTATGGACACCCAGGGAAATGTGAACTTTGGTTATCTATGTTGTTTGGGGCTGAGCACAGGGGAAATCCTTTAAAGGAAGGGAGCTTGAGTTTTCTTTGGCATGCAGTGGCCACTAGCTGTTTCAATGATCATCTGCTCTGGATGTAGTGAATATTGAAATCAAGGCTTTGAGTAGTTGAGAATCCACCCTCAACCAAAGAATACAAAGGACATGATTAACTGCTTCTTCGTGAGAGTGGCTGCTTCCAGTGGGGCTGGCCAATGAAAAGAAAAGAATGGTAAGTTCAAATTCCTAAATGCTCTGCTGAAGACACAGACTGAACCCTGGGCATTGTGTAAAAAGAAATTATTACCTGTGCACTCATTGAATTCCTTCTTAAATTCCCAGTGTGTCATTTGCAATTTAGGTTTTGATTTTGAAAGAGATGATGGGGGGCTGAGAATTAGAATGATGACATGTGGGAGAATGTGAATATTTTAAACTCCCAGTTCCCACTGAGCTTCCTGTGTAAACTGAGTTTAATCCCATTCTCCCCTGATGAGACTGTATCTGTCGAAAATAAAGATTCTGTAGTGACCTCAACTGAGACTGATACTTCTTCGGGGAAGCCAACTTTCATATACTTCCATCCTGGCTCTATCTCTATACCTGTAATTGTCTTTTTAAAATATTTATTTATTTTTTTAGTTGTAGTTGGACACAATGCCTTTATTTATTTATTTTTTATGTGGTGCTGAGGATTGAACCTAGGGCCTCGCAGGTGCTAGGCGAGCTCTCTACTGCTGAGCCACAACCACAGCCCCTATAACTGTCTTTTGCACCAAGCACTTTATATGCTTTACATATGTTAATTCACTTAATCCTCCCAATAACCTCATAGGGTCACTAATACCATTATTCTCATTTTCCAGATCAGAAGACTGAGGCACAGAGAAATTAAGTGCCTCGTTTAAGGCAATACATCCAGTAAGTGGTAGAGATGGTATTTGATTCAAGGAGCACCTATGCTCTTAATCACTACACTGTCCTTTCTCCTACCCCAAGTCATCTGGTGTCTCTTGATTACAGTTGTGAAGATATGGGGGAAGTGACTGAAAGGTGGTACCTTCAGGGATTGGAAAAATGAAGAATCAGGCAAAGGCTTTTGTACTGCTTGTAGATATCATCTTTATTAAATCCACAAAAGAAAAAAAAGACAGGAAAGGATAATCTCTATCCCTGTGAATTCCAGTCATGATTCAGGTTTCCTTGGGTTCTCTTTTACATATATTTCACACCCCTTGAGCCATTCAGATAAATCATGGCCAGAGCAATGCCGGGTCCAAGAATCCCTGGGAGATGAAGGGAGGGAGGAAAGATGAAGTGGATAACTTGATGAGGCAATACCCCTATCTCTGGCTGTGCAGGGTCCAGACAGTCCCATGAACTTACCAGGCCTTCATACTTCCTGGTGCACTCACAACCCGCTTGGCACACAAGATGTCATCCAGAATATGGCGGTTGAGCAGGTCTAGGGGGTGAGAGAGGAACATGATGATCTGGTGCACTTGGCAGAGGGTGACAGCATATGGAGGGCCCAGGGTTTCTAGATTCCTTGGGGCCTGAATTACATCAACCACTACATTGGCTGATTGTGGATGACCTCCACTCTTTTGTTAGCTGGTTATAAATTACTTCAAGTGCCCTGTTGACTGGTTCTGTACAACCTTAACTCTGGTTGGCTTTAAGTATCACATTGACAGGTTATGAGTAACCTCAGTCACCATTATTGGCTCATCCCAGACTCCCTCAAATTCCTCGTTGGCCAAGTCTGGATGACTTCAACTGTCATTATATTCAGTTAACAATGTTCTCAACTGTAATACTGGCTGGTCTAGCATCACCTGAACCAGCTGATTGGGAAGATAATTAACTGTCATATTGGTCATTCCTAGTGACTTCAAACAGTATGTTTTCAGGTCCTAGATACATCCAATTCCTATTTTGACTGGTTATGAATGACCCCAACCTCCATACTGGCTAGTTCTGTTCAACCACAGCCACCATAGTACCTTGTCCTAGATAATCTCAACTTCCATGTTGGCTGGACCAGGATGACTTTTAATTGTCATTTAGCTAGTTGTTAATGATCTCAACTGCCATGTTGACCATCCTAAACAATCTCAATTACCATTTTGACTAGTTATAAATAACTTCAACCTCCCTTTTAGTTATCCTGGATTATTGCAATTTCCATGTTGTCACACTGAACAACCTTAACCTTAATTTTATTCAGCTTTGAAAAAAATTCATTATTCATTTACTCTTAGACAACCTCAAGCTCTATGGTAGCCAGTCCTGGATCATCTCAACCTTCAATCTGGCCAATCATCGGTGACCTCTTCTGCTATGTTGACTGGATTTACACAATCTAAACCTTCATTTGGGTTGGCTCCAAATAAGTTAGTCTCCATTTTGGCCTGTCTTGGACAACTTCATCCATCATTCAGGACAATCCTCAAACAACTTCATTGCTATTCTATTTTGTCCTGACCATCACAACACTCTCATCTGGAAAGTTCTCTCATTTCTACACATTGGTAGTTTTTTTTTTGTTGTTGTTGTTGTTTTTTTTTTTTTTTTTTTTTTGCAGTGCTGGGGATTGAACTCAGGACCTTGTGCATGTGAGGCAACCACTCTACCAACTGAGCTACATCCTCAGCCCTGGTAGTTTGTTTTTGTTCCTACTTCCAATCATCTGCTTCTTCCCTTGGGGCCTATACAACCTCAACTCCAAATCAGAACAGTCTCCCCATCTATTTCACATGACACTGAATTGTCTGTTTCCAGAGTCTCAAAAAACTGTAGCCTCCACTCTGGGTCAGATTCAAGGGCTCTGCATTCTCTAGACCTAGGCAACATGTCATTGTAGTCTGGTTAAGGATTTAGGATGGTGTCTCAAACAACACAGGCAACTTTCTTCCTTTTCCCATAATTTTTCTACATTTGTAGGAGATTACAGTTTAGATAATCTTGCCTTTTTTTGTGTGTGGCATGTAGGGCCAGGCACTAGGGATCTTGTATTCATACTTTTGCCTTACCACTACAATCCATATGGCAGAGGTTCTGGGTGGGTGTGACACCGTTGTCACACCACCAGGCAGAGTTCAGCTGGAAAATGCCATATTCACTACTGCCATCGGGATTGTGATCCACGAAAGAGGTGTCAAAGCCGCTCTCGTAGTGTGCCATGCACAACCCTGGGACAGAGAGAGAAAGAGAGAGATAAGAAGTAGGAGGCAGACATAGGGTCCAGGAATAAGAATGGCTAGGATGGGTGTGACAATGGGGATGATTGTCATCTTAGTTGTGAGACTGATGATCTTGGTTTGGTGGTGGGGTGTTGATGCTGATGATTCTGGGTGAGATATCAGTGATGGTGGTAGTGATGGTATTCATGGTGACAACAGTGGTGATGATATGGTCAGTAATAATGGTGTTTATGATAGAGACTGAGTTTATGACATTAGAGTTGAGTTAAACCACTCATCACAGTTAGAAAGTAACTAGAGGTCAGGCCCTGACCCAGAGAGGTGAAAAATGACAAGAGAAGCCTGGGTCTGAGTGTGGTTAATGGCTTGGGGTATGGAAGGGACTTGGGGCAAATAGAGTCTCACAGTCTCCAATTTGGTAGCCTCTGTAGCCATCAAGGCCTGCCTTCTCCAGCTTCTTTGCCAGCTCGCAACGTTCATAAATCTTGGCATCCACACTGGCAACGATCAGTGTGGCCCAGATCACTAACACAGTGCCCCAAGCCAACATTATGACACCCGCAAGCCCTTGTAGCTGATGCCTTGCTCCAGATTCACCCTGTGGTGTTCAGAACTAGGGGCATTCTGGAACTCTGAGCTCTATGAGCACTGACTGGTCTAAGTGATATATTCTGGAACATAGAAGCTAGAGGTCTGGGCACCTCACTACTTTCCCCAATGCCAATTCTCCTAGAGACCAAGAGACACACAAAGAAAAATAAAGATACTGACAGAGATGGAAGGAGACAAAAAGAGAAACCCAGTGGTGTCAGAAAGATGCAGGGAGAGAAGGGTTGGCAACACACCAAATACAGACAGTCTAACTTGAATACTAAGCCTCACACTGGACCCACATTCCCCTAAATTTCTTAATGCTGTACCACTCTACTCTCAACACCTATGTGTTATAACTTGGTTACCTCCATTTCCATTCATTCTAGTCCCATTCACCACTATTTCCCAGTCTGCTGACTGATCAGTGGTATTCATCACGCTGTGCCTATTACCACCTCTGATTTCTCATCCTCTACAGAATATGCTCTGCCCCCATTACCTCCATTTACTCATTATCTTAGTCTGTTTGTGCTGCTATAACATAATACCTGAGACTGGAGAATTTAAAAAGAATAGAAATTCACAATTCTATCAGCTGGGAAATTCTAAGATCAAGGCAATGATATTTTGTGACAGTTTTCTTGCTGTAGTCTCCAGAAAGAGTTCCTGAAAGCCCTTTTCAGAGCTGCATTAATTCATTCATGAGGGCAAAGCCCTTATGACCTAAACACCTCCTCAAATGACCTCCTTTCCAACACTGTTGCCTTGGGGATTAAGTTTCTAACACCTGAATTTTGGAGGGGACACATTTAAACCATAGCACTCATCTTTGGCACTTCCTATACCTCTCTGTATTCACTGTGTGGTTCCATCTTAACTTACTAGAATCTTCTCCAATTATAATCACACTCTGTCCCACATCACATATTACAAATGATATCTTACGCACACATACTCACATTCAACTGTTTTTTCACCTTCATTCTTGGTCTTTTATTTCCCAGTTCACTTATACTCTCATCTAATTATGTTCACTCACACTGGGCTTCCTTTTACCACAATTCCCTGACCCATTTATTTATCATTGTCCAAATGTTCTCAAATCACATTCTTTCTTCACCTCCATTCACTCTCACTCAGACTCATTTCCTACTTTCACCTCTACTTCCTGGCACTGCACCAACTGACTCCTATTCACTTTGGTGCCCCATCCTTCAGCTTTGTTCATTGACTCCCGGCCTCATTATCTCCTCCACTCACTCAATCCCTTTCTGCCCTTTCCTTACCTGTATTCTCCAAGATGCTACCCCCATCGGCCCCCTTTCCTGGAACTCTGTGAAGTATCATTCCCAAACACTAGCTCATGTTACCCATTTGAACTCACTCTATGCTCAGTCATCTCCATTGTTTTTCAATTTCCTCTTCATTAGCTCCCCTTACTTTCATTTTTCCTAAATGCCTCATTCATTTAAATTCATTTCCAATGTAACCCCTATTACCCTCTTCTCACTTCTGCTCCTGATTCATGTCTAGTTGCTCCTTCTCTGCCCCAGTAACCCTATTCAGTCATACTTTGCCTTGAATTCACCACTTTTTGCCCATATTGGGCCTGATGTTACACTGATTACTTATCCTGGGTGGACCATGTGACTTTTATCTCCTCTTCTTTTTTAAAGAAATTTTTTTTAGTTGCAGATGGACACGATACCTTTATTATTTATTTATTTATTTTTATGTGGTGCTGAGGATTGAACCCAGTGCCTCATACATGCTAGGCAAGCACTCTACCACTGAGCCACAACCCCAGCCCTTATCTCCTCTCTTTTTGCCTCACAATATCCACATTTACTTACCTTCTGCTCTTTACTTCCAATCCTTCTCATTCTGCCCACCATTCATGTATATTCACATCTGTTGATTCACACTGGGATCCAGGTCACTACCCTGCATTACCCCTATCCAATTTCAGCCTGCCCCACTCACCTCTAGTCACTTTCCTTCTCCCTTATAGTATCTCTGTTCAAACTGGACTCTAATCACTCTTGTTTTTTCCATTTGTGCACCCCACTCTTCTCTCTGAGTTCCATATTACCCCAATTCTCTCCTACTTTCCCTCTAAATTCACCTCTCCAATCATATTGTGTCTCATAAACCATTAGTCACACTCTAATCCTTAGCATTTCTATCAATTCTATTCGCATTTACCAACTTTCTTTGCCCTATTCACTCAGTCTACATCCACTATTACCTTTCTTTAATTAGACTGTGTTTCACTTTTTCATCACATATTCAGTCTCATCCATAATATCAATGTAATTCAAAATCTAGTCCATGGTCATTCCTTTACTCTGCCCATGCACATCTCTCCTCATGCACTCTTCTCTGCTGCTCATTCACTTTCATTCCATTACACTTTGCCTCTCTCCTTGACCCAATTCACTCCCAATTTGACTTTCATTCGCCATTATTCATATTGGCTCACCAGTGCCATGTATCCTGTTTACTGACTCACGTTGGCTGAACAGAAAAGTCTGATATATTGTTCAGGATTAGTTTGGCTGCACGAATCAACACCATTAAAAATGTCCTTGACTTCAAGAGGAGGTAAGGGGATTACTTTCTTGGAGGCAAGGCAGTTCAATGCTAATGTGTTGACTTCAATGTCACCAGAGACATGACTCCTTCTGTGCTATTTTTCTGCCAACTTCACTGCTTCCTTTTGGTCCTAAACAACTATTAAATATTGGCAATAGCAGACTGTAGCTGTAGCTCAGAGGCAGAGTGCATGCCTAGCATACGTGAGGTAGTGGGTTCGAGCCTTAGCACCACATAAACAAATAAAATAAAGGTATTCTGTCCATCTACAACTACAAATTTTTTTTTAAAAATTGGCAACACTTTCATGGTTTTGATAAGATATATCTTAAGAGCTCAACAGCCAGGTGGGGGGCCTTTTCCCTTATCTTTGGGTGAGGGTACCACACCATACAGAGCCTGTAGTGGGACCACTTACCGGTCAATCTCCCATACCCTTTCACTTGGCCACCTGCTGCCTAGACTACTGTATGAGGAGGTTGCACCTGTAGGGACTGATGGTAGAGGATGCCCTGAATAGAGAGTGGGAGTTCTGGCTCTGCAGCAGGAAATCTGGCCTCACGTAGCTTATGGATGTGTGCTGTGGACCTTGGGAAAGTTTCTGAGGGGCAATATCACTGGCTCATAAACATTTCTGGAGCCCACAATCAGCACATCTCAATTTCCACCAATCCCAAAGGATTTCCCTGCTTTCATAGGTGTGTGTGTGTGTGTGTGTGTGTGTGTGTGTGTGTATACACTCTCATGAGTGCAAGGTGGTAAGGGATAAAAGTGCAAGGCTGAAAGAGACCAAACTATGATGATCCTAAAGGTTCAGCGCTTCCTATTTTCCACCCCTGAATGTGTTAAAGAGTGGACAATGTTTATACTGGAGGTGCTGATACTTCAGAGAACAAGAAATCTGAGTTTTACTCCTGCTTCCTCTTTGCCTTGTTTGCTAGGAAGCTTCATTTCCAGGCTGGTTTTACTGATTTTAGAGTGAAGCTCCTCAGATACCTTCTATGAAATATTGAATAAACAAAATATTGAATAAACAAAAGAATAATATTACTAGGTGGAGGTTATAAATCTGACTTTGAGAATTTGTGTGACCTTTGCCTTATCTCACAAGTGGGGGCCATGGGACTGTTGTGATAATTGAGTTCATGTCATGCACGTCACACAGTGCCCACCATGCAAGAGATGAGTTAGTCATTTCCTATGCCTATTGCTAGGAGCCTCCTCATTGATCTCACTGTTTCCACCCTTGCTCTTTACAGTCTGCTCACAAAGCAGTTTGCCATTCATCTTATTTTATTTTTTCTTATTAAGAAGTTTATATATATACACATCTGATTTTATTTATATAATAATAAACACCGACATAGCACTTGCTATGTGCCAGGTGTTGTTTTAAACCCTTTACAATATCAACTCATTTGTCACCTCAACCCTAATGAGATAGGCACTGTCATTATCCTTATTTTATAGATGAGGACACAGTACAGGGAAGTAAACAGTCGTGCCTTATATCACACAGCTGGTGGGTGGGGGTTTGAACTCAAGGTGTCCACATCATGTTATTATCTTTTTTCCTGGCTTCATTCCCAATATCTAGAACACTATTGGGCACAGAGGAGGTGTTTAGGCATATCCCTGCGGAGGTCACATTCTAATAGGGCAAAAAACAAATGAATGAAATATACACATGTAATTTTAGCCTTAAAATACAAGACTAGATTGCTTCATATTGGTCTTTTAAAAATCCGATCCCTCTTAACAGTTTCCCCATTATCTAGAGAATGAGATTATAAACCCTATTCCTAACTCCCAACACACTAACAATGCCTCTGCCCATTCAGAGAAAGGAACCTGTCAGTCACTAATACAGCCCATTCACCAACGGTGTGTGTTTGTTTGCGTCCCACAACACTGTTCATTCTTCAGCTTGTGGTCTGTGTACTTTCCTATCTTCTTCAAAAGCTAATATGTAAACTCCAGCCCTAGCCACTGGATGGAGCCAGTGGCTTTTCCCTACCCTCTTAGTCTTTGTGTACGCAGAACATTCCGCCCCATATCCTGCAATTACACCGGCAACACCGTTGCTGACCTTTGAATTCAAGACACAAAATTCCCGGCCGCTAAAATCTTTTCCTTAATTGGGCACTTGTCCTCCCTGCCCTTCCATAAGTGTATTGGTGTCTGAAATCTTGGAATGCTGGCCTCCGCAGAACAAAGTAAACACCTCTGCACAGCGAACCTGGAGAAGAGACGCTGTAGGCATAAATATCTCGCCTTGGAACGGTGACGTCACCTGTACAGCCGCCTTTCCTCTGCGCTTGCGCTGTGACCCCAACACCTTCGCGGCCCCATGTTGACTATTGGCAGATGTGGTCTCAAAGGCATTACTGAGCGTGCGCAGAACCGTTCGCTGTAGATTTTATAGGCTACGGTGCCGGAGAGCTGGTTCAGAAGCGGAAGTGCTTGTCGGGGCCAGTTCTTGTAACGGTCTCTTCAACAGTAAGCAGAAAATCAGTTGACGAGAAAGACAGTGAGGTTGAGCGGACGTTTGCTGGGGGTCTTGGGCTAAGTGATGGGGGATTCTGGGGGACGAGTGAAGGGAGGTTTATGAGGGTCATTGATACGGGGGTTTATAGGTTGAGTGATGGGGAACCGAGAAGTCAGTGAATGAGGGTCTGGGGGCTCATTGGTGGACAAAGTTATGGGGCTAGTTAGGATAGAGTGGGGCCTATTAAACTTTGACATTTACACATTTTCCAGCATAGTGACCTATACTTAGGGTTCTTGCGTATCCCTCAGGCCCCTCGTTAGGTGCGCCCTGCCTCTCCCTCTGTCCCTCTCCCCTCGCCCAAACCCTGAGTAGGGGCCTGGTGTGAAAGCGCCAGGAGAAGTGACCTGCACCTGAAGGCCTCTTTTCGGGTCCTGGGCAAGACTATCCCAGTGAGGTGAGGAGAAGGAAGAAGAGCCACCTGAGAAGACTTACCTAACAGTGGGCCTTCTCCACAGTTTGGGGGCTGGGAGGGGTGGGCGGGGCCTGGTGCTGCAGGATCTGAGGGGGCTAGGGGTAAAATGTCATTTGGATAATAGGTAGTTCTAAAGTTCAGTGTTTTTTTTTGTGACATTTAATAAATAATACTTTTGAATTACAGATTAATTGGGAAATAGAGGAAAGGAAAAAAAGAACTGATTTGCCCCCCCCATCACATTTATGTCTGTTCTTAAACATATATGTGTATGCCTTTTTAAACTTTTATAGTTTTAAGATAGGTTTCTGCAGTTTTATAATCTATTTTTATTTAGAAATTTATTGTAATGCAGCTTTAGATTTCTTCTATAACATTCTTTTAAACTTTTGAGATATGTCTACCGCAACATACACAGAAAAGTGAATACTTCCATTTTAAATTTTGTTGCTAATATTTACTTATTATTCTCTTATGGGTCACATGGGATTGTTTTAAGTTTGGCATTATTAAACTCAATGCCCAAATGAAGTTACTTACAGAGAAATTACACATTATGATAAATTATCTCATTAAGTGAATACAAGTTCTGGATTGGGGTACAATTTATTATATGTAATAAAAGCCTTTGTGCTCAATGTTCACACAAAAAGTCAAAAATATACTGGTCATTATTAAAACCATATACTCTTCCACAGAGCAGCTTCATTGCTAGCTTATGTGAGGGGATTTCTAGGAGGATAATTCTGCTACTCCAAGCCTAATGGGGTCCTCATATGCTCTACCCTTCTCTACTTCTTCCAGCTCAATTTTCACACATCTCTGCCTTTTCCCAAGAACAGCAGGAAATGGCCAAACCCCAGGTAAGTATGTTATCTGTTTGTTCCATTCTCTTTTTAACTATAGATGTGATGAGATTTATAGGAATCTTTACCATGAAATAGAAAATTATTTGTGAATGAGGACTAGGATCAGGGAAAATGAGAGACAGAAGATCAAGGCTAATTAGAATGTATATACTTGGAGGACTTCAGGGTAACAGATACAGACATGTCCCTTGACTTGTGATGGGGTTACATCCTGATAAACTCATAATAAAGCTGAAAATTCATTTAATACTTCTAATCTACTCAGCGTCATAGCTTGGCAACATGGTACACTGTGGAGTATTCGTTGCTTCCCCTTTTGATCACATGACTGGGAGTTATGGCTCACTGCTGCTGCTCAGCATCAGAAGAGAGTATTGTTTTACATATTGTTAGCCCAGGAAATTATTAAAATTAAAAATTCTAAGTATGGTTTCTACTGATTATGTATTGATTTAGCATCACTGTAAAGTTGAAAAATCACAAGTCAGATCATGTTTAGTCACGGGCCATCTGTATTAGTGTTGAGCTGCTGGTTTCTCTTTGAGTCTTCGGGCAGCCAAAGGGAAATATAACCAGTTCCTTGATTCACCTTATTCATCAGGAGAGAGCATAGAAGGGCCTCAGGAGAAGCCAGGGTTTCCTGGAATTGCTTTTCAGGGCATTTTTTGGTTCAGTTGTCATGTGGAATTATCTTTAACCACAACCTGGTGATAAATAACGTTCCTGATTTCCTGTAGATATTTCCCATTTCTAAGTGAGCTGGAGATATGGTCATATTATAAATTAGGAATGAAATCTCTTAAGGAACCTGCCTTTCAAATGACTTTCCTGAAGTAATTTTCTCAGTTGGACTTTCAGTTCTCTTTTGGCCAAGACACAAAGTCTACAGATAGCCATAGTCTACCATCTTTTTTTCTTTCATTTTTTTATCTTTTAAATTAACTTAACATTGATTTTGCATTTGTGTCAGTTGATAAGTGTTAATACATGCAGATTGGTGTAACTAATCTACAGGTTCTAGTTTCTTCACCACAAAAACTGCCTCATGCTACTTATTTATAGTCATATCCTCCCCCTGCCTATAACCTTAGCCAACCACAGATCCATTCTGTGTCACTATAGTTTTGTCTTTTCAAGAGTGTCATTTAAATGGGGCCATATGCTCTGTAACCTTTCTTTGTTTCCTTTTTTTTTTTTTTGAGGTGGATACCACTATATTGTCCAGGCTGGTCTTGAACACCTAAACTCAAATGATTGTCTTCCATCATCTTCTGGATTAGCTGGGATGAAAGTTGTATGCCACCATGCCCAGCTTAGTGCAACCTTTTTTTAAAAATTAAACTTTTCCTTTTGAGGTGATTGATTTACATATAATTTGAAGAATAATATAGATAGGTCCCGTGTACCTTTTCCCATTTCCCCCAATGATAACATATTTCAAAACAAGTATAATATCACAATCAGGATATTATATTAGTATGATTAGGCATGGGCTGGGGTTGTGGTTTAGTGGCAGAGCACTTGCCTAGCATGTGGGAGGCACTGGGTTGGATCCTCAGCACCACTTAAAAATAAATAAAATAAAGGTTTATCAACAGCTAAAAAAATTTTTAAAAATATGATCAGGCACAGAATAGTTCATTACTTCAAGGCTCCCTCAAGGCTACATTCAGAGCTTTTCTCCTCACACCCATTCTTAATCTCCTGGCAACTACTAGTATGTTTTCTATTTCAGAAGCTTTGTTATTTCAAGAACATGATTTAAATGGAATCATACAAACCAGGTGCAGTGGCTTATTCCTGTAATTCCAGCAACTTGGCAGCTGAGGCAGGAGAATTGTGAGATTGAGGCCAAAGTCAATTTAGCAATACCCTCAGCAACTTACTGAGACCCTGTCTCAAAATAAAAAAAAAATGAAAAAGACTGGGGATGTAGCTCAGTGGTAAAACTTCCTTGGGTTCTATCCCCAGTAACATAAAAATAAAGAAAAAGAATTGAATGGAATCATATAGTACATAATATTTTGGGATTGGACTTTTTTTTTCTTTTTACTCAACACAGTTCTCTGGAGATTCACCCAAATTGTTGTGTGTGTTATTAATTGTTCTTTTTTTTTTATTATTGCTGAATTCATGGTATAGATGTTCTATGGCTTACTTATCCATTCATCTTTTGAAATACATTTGGGCTATTTCCAGATTGGAGCAGTTATAAGTAGAGCTACTTAAACATTCAGATTTTGTGTAAACATGTTTTCATTTCTCTAGAGTAAATATGAATTGCTGGGTCATATAGTAAGTGTATGTTTAGCTTTTGAGAATCTGCCAAAGGGGTTTCTGGAGCCATTGACCCATTTTTCATTTCCATAAGCAGTATGCAAGAATTTCAGTTGGCACATTTTTGTCAGCAGTTGGTATATTCAGTATTTTAAAAAAGTTTCAGTCATTTTAGAAGGCATGTAGTAGTATCTTATTATGGTTTTAATTTGCATTTCCCTAATAGCCAAGTATATTGAACATTTTATATATGCTTATTTACTTTTTTGTATGTCCTCTTTGATAATGTATCTGTTCAAAAGGTTTTGTCCTTTTGAAAATTGGATTGTTTTCTTACTGTTGAGGTTTGAGAGTTCTTTATATATTCCTTATTCAAGCCCTTTGTCAGTCCCATGGTTTGTAAGTCTTTTCTCCAAATGTGTGGCCTGTCCTTTCAATTCTCTTAAGAGTGTTATTTGCAGAGCAAGATTTTTTTTTTTATTTTGAAAGTGTCCAGTGTATAAATTATTTATTATATGGAGTGTGCTTTTGGTATCAGATCTAAGAACACTTTTTCCTTACTTAATGTCATGAAGATTTTCTCCTATTCTGTAAGTTTACTAGTTTTTGGTTTTATATTTTGTTCTATGATCCATTTTGCATTAATATATACTTTATATACCTTTATACTTTATGTATCTATATATACATATGTGTGTATACTTATATGTCTATATATACACACACATATGTATACACACTTATATATTTATTTATGATTTATTCATTTATCTATTGGCAGATACCTAGGCTAATTCTATTATCTTGGCTATTTTTTAATATTTATTTTTTAAGTTTTAGGTGGACACAATATCTTTATTTTACATTTATGTGGTGCTGAGGATTGAACCCATGCTAGGCGAGCACTCTACCGCTGAGCCACAACTCCAGCCCATATATCTTGGCTACTTTATTGGTTTAAAACTTTTCTCAATGCATGCATTTAATGCTATAAGATTTTCTCTAAGCAGTGGTTTAACTGTGTCCCACAAAGTTTTGTATATTTTCATTTTTGTTCAGTTCAGATTACTTTCAAATTTTCAATAATACTTCCTCTTTGATTATATGTGTTATTTGGAAGAATAATTAAAAAATTTTTTTTTAGTTGTAGATGGACACAACTTTATTTATTTATTTATTTATTTATTTATTTATTTAATGTGGTGCTGAGGATCAAACCCAATGCCTCACACATGCCAGGTGAGTACTCTACCACTAAGCCACAACCCCAGCCTGGAAGAATGATGTTTAATTTCCAAGTGTCTAGTCTTCCTGTTATCTTTCTGTTACTATATATGTAGTCCTTTGTCCTTAGTTTTTAGCAGTTTGATGATGTGTCTGGTTGTGCATTTCTTGTGGGTTTTTTCCGTTTGGGGATTGCTGAGCCTCTTGAACCTACAGATGCAGGTTTTTGCCAAATATGGAAAGTGGTCAGGAAATTTTTTTTCAAGTATTTTTCTGAACTATCCTTTCTCTTCTTCTGGAACTCTAATAACCTAAATTTGGTGTTATCTCACAGGTCTTAGAAGCACTATTCATTTTTCCAGTATTTTTGTTTTCCAGATTGGTTAAATTGTATTGATTACTTTGAGGCTTATTCACTCTTTTATCTGTTATCTCCATTGGGCTATTAAGCCCTTTCTAGTAGGAGGTTATTTTGGTTATTATCTTTTTCAGTTTCAAAATTTCCATTTGGTTCTTCTTTAGATCTTCTGTGTCTTTGATGAGACTTTCTAGTTTTCTTGTGGTTCCCAGAAGGTTGGTCTAACTTCTTGGGTAGTGTGTGTGTGTGTGTGTGTGTGTGTGTGTATGTATGTATGTTACTGGGGATCAAACCCAGGGCCTCATGCAGGGTAGGAAACTGCTCGACCATTGAGCTATATCCCCAGCCTGGGTGTTTTTTATAATAGCTGCTTTAAAGACTTTCTCAAATGATTCCAACACTTATATCTGCTTGATGTTGGTATCTGTTTTTTTTTTCTCATGACTGTTGAGATTTTCTTGTGTGCCATGTAATTTTGGAATATGTCCTACATATTTTAATGTGATATTATGAGACACTGGGTTTGTTTAAGTCATATGGAGAATGTTGATATTTTGATTTGCCATAGGCAGTTGACCCAGTTGAGTTCAGGCTACAAGTTCTAATCAGTCTTCTGTAGTTTGTGGTTTCCATGTTTATTTAGTTTTTAAACCTCATAACAGACATTCTGGGATGTAGGCAGTGGTTTGTCCCTTAGTTCAGTTCTCAAAAGTGTTTACTTTTTTGTTTTAGAGTAGATCCACAAATGCACAGTTTGAGAATGAGCCCAGGAGTTGATACATGATGTTATGGGGTTTCTTTCCTGAATTCTTCCTCCCCATGATTTCCTGTGAATTTTCTAGTTCCCTGTTTTCCCCCTTTTTGTCCATCTTATAGAGAAATGTTTTTTGTTTTTGTTTTTTACTAGACTGCACACTTACCCCAGCTATGCCCATGGATGGACACAAGTTGCAGATACAGAAGACAAAAAATAATGAAGTTTCTCTTGGGACTAAGAGCTTCAAATCAGAGTCTGGGTTTTAGATGATGGTCAGAGTCTACTGGTACTGCAGGTCCTGTTGTAGCTATTATTGCTGCTGCTACTGCTGGATTTTCTGCTGCCTAGGGTGTGAGAGAAAGGAGGGAAAAAAGAAAA